TTTTTTTACAATATGGATTTAATATTTTTTATGATTTGATAATATAAACAAATCTATACTTAACTTTGACAAATAAAACAAATAAATACTTTAGTAAGTATTTAATGTATATACTAAATAGGAATATATTTGGTATAATCAAATACCAAATATAATCAAATAAGTCAAAGTGTACATTTTTATTTGGTATTTAATTTTTTTATTATTAAATTCTTTTTATTATACTTACCTTTTTAAAATAAAACAAATAAATAAATCAATTAAATAAATAAAATATTATAATACCAAAATAGTAATGACATTTAATGCAGTTGACTTTTCTGGATAATAAATGTAGTAAATAGAATATCCTTTTATATAATATAATACGGAAATAGTAATGCAATAAATGCTGTTGACTTTTTTGGCTACTTAATTTGGTAAATAGTACCCCCTTTAATATAAGTATAGATATAGATAGTAATGTATAGATGGGACAAAAAATTAATGAGATTTTCATCTCTTTTTTTCATTTAATTATGGAAAGTGACGATTATATCTATATATATATATAATTACTAGCTACTAACATTTAATAAAACCTATTTAATTTTACCTATGTTGCAATTTAACAATTTTCTCTCTAAAAACTGTTACATTTTGATGTATTTAATCTTTCATTTAATCATTAAATAATTAATACTCATCACTTCAAAATTACAAAAATCATTTTAAACTTTTGATTAATGACAGTTGACCATATAATGTGTTGACCGTATAATGTGATTAGATGTTATTATTGTTGTTACATTTAATTTTTTTTTAAAAAATAAAAAATATATTTGAAATTCCTAAATAAATAATAAATAATTCACAAATAAAAGACGTACCAAAATATACATTACATCCAATCAGATAAACGCAATTTAAAAAAAAAATATTCAAACTCTTTTAATTGTAAATGTGATCTGCAAAAAAGTGAAAGAAAAATAATTAATCATTATATGCATATATACAGACTCACAATAATTTATTTATATTTGTGCAAATGCATAGGTCGAATACTAGTTTTTATTAATTAAGTGGAATAATTTTTCTAAACTTATTTATCACATAATATCTACTATTAATATTAATAAATTTTAAACTCACAATAAAAGTTTATGTAAATTATACACTTAAAGAAAAATTTATAGCAATTTCTTTCTTCAGTTTTTTTTAGGTATCATTTTATTTTTATCTCTTTAAGCAACCTTTATAATAGCTAATTAGTTTAATAGAATAGCAAACTCCTAAAAATTTTATAAATAATTTTATTAATAATAATAATAAGTTAATATTTTTTCAACCAACTAATTAGTTCGGGTAACTTAATTATGTAAGTACATTATTCA